TATTTCTCAGAGTTTTATTAAAAAAACTTCCCAAAGGAACGCTTATCCACGTTTTTGCTCCGAACAAGACCCTTCACCAGCATCTACTGATTTGTACTAACAGATGGTTTCAATAAATAGGAATTTTATAACCACCACATAACACTGCTGGTTTATCACACAGTTTGAATAATTGGTGAATTTTAAATATTCAATACATGCCAGTTGACTCACCAGCGTTCGCCTCACTCAATAATTAATTGAATTGCATGTTTTGCAAAAACGGTTTGAATGAAAATTGGATCATACATTGAAGCCATTTTAATGTTAATTTGTTTATTTTGTAACATAAATATATCTCACAGACAAGACACAGTATGAAATTGATAACAATTATTAGCAACAAAAATTTTTTTTATCATATAAATAGGAAGGGTGATTTCTTGTCAGTAGCTGTTTTAGTCTCGATAGAGAGAAATAGGTGTACAGTCCATATTTTTGCTAGCCTTTTTAATAAAGGGCCTATTTGAAGGTATTTGCTGTCTACTAGGTTTATATGTTATAGCAAATCTTTTGCTCTCTAGTGGCTGTTTTGTAAAGAGCCTTGCTCAGTGCAAACCCCAATTTTGGTTGTTGTTTGAACAGGGCTGGTCCAGGGCCTGATTTATGGTAATATACATCAAGATACTTTTGAACAATTGATTTTCAAAGTCCAATTCAGATAACAGTATTACTGTCAACTGCAATGAATTTTAATTGAATTTAATTTTAATTCTTGCTGAAGACAGTTTAATGCCATAAATGTAGAAATATCATAAAATTAGGGGCGTAGGCAGGAATTTTAAGTGGGTTGGAATTTCTAATTAGCGCGTTAGATCGTAACAACTAGCAAGTTTTTGAGTCTTCAGGGTCTAAAAAGCATTTCAAGCTACGACGAATTCCTAAGTATGATACATTTTTTTTTTGGGGGGGGGGGGGGGGGGGGTGGTTCCGACTCTGAAACCCCCACCCCCCTGCATGTGATTTATTTTATAGTGTCAGTGAAATTTTGAAATATGGACCTTCGAAATTTCATAATAACCCAGCAAATAATTTTTCTGAAATGCATGAAATAAAAGTTTTCTATATTAATATTCAACAAGGTGAACCAGCGAGGCCATACCAATTATTGTCGACTGATTTTGCGAATAATTAAACTGAACTTACTGAAGTTACATATTAATATAAAAACTGTCCTAGCTGGATTGGTTTTCATCCCGTTCTTATTGTTATCATATGAAACCAAGTATTCAAGAAACTATTTGAGCATGCATGTTCTTAGTTACATACACACATTTGCCATGAACAAGGTCTTTTAATAAGCATCTACTCAATAGTACACACTCACTCAGACTTAGGTTTTGTACAAAAATGAGTGAATGAACATCCAGCACTTTAATAAACTGGTGTTTTGTCTACAGCCTTGAAAGAAATACATTTGAATGGGTAGCGCAAGACTGTACTGTACAGAGTCTATCTGAGAGTGAAATTGATGAATGAATGAATATTTTTTTGTTAATAAATAATGGGTTTGGGGCAACTTAAGAGCAAATATTTGTAGTTGTTCCATATAGAGCAGTGGTTCTCAAACGGTGGTGCTCCCCCAACATGGGGGAGTCAACAATTCTTTGAGGGGCATGTAGCTTATTAAAAATAAAAATATTTGTTAGATTTGATCTTGCCCGCCTTATTTCGAATATTTCATTTCAATCATTTCTTTATTGTCCAAGGATTGCGATTCCATCCATGTATTTTCAATGTGTTTTTTATTAAAACATACTTTCGCATTACTATCTGTTATTTGTAGTTTATTGTTATCTAGTTATTTTTGAGATGGGGCGCGAGACTTGACAAATTCTAAAAAGAGGGTGTGGCTTGAGAATCACTAATATAGAGTCTTATTCAGAGAGAACCATAGTTGGGTATTTTGGTAGTTTTTATATAAAGATTACTTCATGGTATTAGGCACTAGGACACTTTTGTCTGTTGTTTGTAGTCTAATTCGGTTGACTTGTAGTGTTAAGTGACTTTTTGAATGCCATATAAATGAGCCATCTCCATGGGCCTGCGTCCAATAAATATTTATCCTTTATGTTTACGACACAGTATGGTGAAATTTTAATGAGGCATTCACTTTCACACGTGTTTGCTCAGGTGTTCGATTCCTATAATTCAGGGCTACTCAACTATTTTTACCGAAGGTCCGCATACAAAACTTCAAAAATATTTGGGTCCGGACTTTCCAGAAATTATATTTCGGCATCCTTAAACACGCACTTCCTCGGCCGACGAATGATTATTAGCTAATCAAGATTGTTTGTTATGGCGTTATAGTTCTTTTCGTATATATATTTTTAAATCTATAAAAGTGATTTTATAAAAGGAAATATCAAAAGTGGGGCTAATGATCCAAAATAAAGAATTATGCGCGGTCAGAATTGAATACCCGAAAGGTCCGGATTCGGACCGCGGTCCGCCAGTTGAGTAGCCCTGCTATAATTCACATGCTTTCACAGTTTGTGGTCTATTTGTATTGTGATCTATTGGTATTATAGGAATGTACGGTTATGTCACACACCGAATCAAATTTGGCATAAATCATGATTAAAAATGCACATAATAAAACAGTGGGTCCTATTATTTGAATAAAGTGAACACTCAAAATATATATTTTTTAATTTCCTAGAGTTTCCACGAAAATAACTTTTTTTAGCGAACATTATTGAGGGTTTTGCTCAAAACAGCATCCAATGATTCCGAAAACATGTATAGAGCTACAATTTTCTGAAGAATCATAATCTTTCTGATTCTAGTTCCCTGCCCTATTCTTTAAATCATATGATAAGAATGTCATGACTAATTTTTTCTATGTTATATATTCATTTTATGATTAAAAAACACTTATTCATACTTATCTCGATTGCCAGACTGATAAAATAAAATTTTATATAAAAGATGAAATATCTCAATGTATTGCTGGGAGATTGTTACATTATACCAAATGCATATAATCAAAATAAGCAGGGCATAAGACAAAGATAGAATAATAACAGTACAGCTGGTGACTTCTTATGATCTAATTTTTTCCAGTCGCAGGTTTAAGTCTAATATGGAGATCAACGCTGTAGTATTTGTTTTAAAATGGTTGGAGACAGGTATGCTGACATAATGTAAGGCTGGGATCATAAATTCGTCACTTAACTGGGACAATAGATGGGTGTCAATATAATAGGGAATTGTATAACTATGTCATAACACTGCTTTATATGTTTATCTTTCTCAGTTTGAAAAAATATATGGTCAATTTCATATATTCAATAAATGCCAGATGACTCACCAGCGTTCAACTCACTCAAAATTTATTGAGTATATTGAATTGCACTTTTTGAAACAATGCTTTGAATGCAATTAGAAAGCCATTGTTAATTTGGTGATTTTCTAACATGAATAAAACTCTGTATACAAAACACTGTTTTAAATTGATAACAATGATTAGCAATGGGAAGTTTTTTCACCTTACAAATAAGACGAATGAATGTGATTTATTCTCAGTTTCTGTTTTATTCAGTAGCTAGCTGTTTGAGTCTTTTCAAAAAGAAATAGGTGCATATTTTCGGTAGTCTTTTATAAACGCCTACTTGATCATAAGAAACACCAAGACACTTCTGACTGTTGTCTACCAAGTTTCATTACCTGTATCGAGCCTAGTTTATACCAAATTTTTTGCTCTCTAGTAGCTGTTTGGTACAGAGCCATATTCAGTACGAACCTATTTTTTTGTTTCAACAAGACTGGTGAAGGGCCTACTTTATGGTAATACGGTGAACACCAAGACACCTTTGAACAGTTTTTTTCTTCAAGTCTGATTCAGATAACAGTATTACTGTTAAATCCAATGAATTTTAATTACTTAATTGTGTGCGTACCACCATGTATCTACGCACTATTAATTGTTAATCATTGATTAAATTTTGTATAAATGACTCAAGTGTTTAGTAGATCTTGTTGCTTTTACGTATGTATGTTCAGCATGTTTGTTTTGACTTTATCACTAAAATGTCACAATATGTAAATAGAAGACTCGTGAAGACTCCACGAAGTCTGCCGCTCTTCTTTTATTTTGTTCATGTCTGCGTAATAAAGTCAATATATATTTTACTGCTGGGTGCCAGATAAAGAATGTATTTTCATGGTGCAAAGATCAACAAGTAACTTATTCGCTGCAATGCTATTCTTTGATTGTGAGACAAAGTGGTTTAGAATTAGACTGTTAATAGTGGTTGCTTACAGGTATAAGCTAATCCTGCTTTGTGTAAAACGAAAAATCTGAATTGAAAATTTGAATTGAGTATTTTTTAAATACTTGCCAATTTTCAGTCGTAAAATATTTATTACCAATATAAAATTGTAACTAACAGTGCGCAAAGGCATAAAATTGTAATACTCCGTTTTTACGATTCACAAGAATTTTATTTTTGTTTTTTCGAAATTTGTCAGATTATATGAATACTATGGAAACCAATTTCCATTTGTAGAAATTCGATTTCAACACTGTATGAGTTTTGATCGTGGGACAAAGTGGTTTAGAATTAGGCAAGATACAGTGGGGGTTTTATAAATATTTTTTTTGACGGACTGTTAATAGTGGTTGATTACAGGTATAAGCTAATCCTGCTTTGTGTAAAACGAAAAATCTGTATTGAAAATTTGGATTGAGTATTTTTTCAATACTTGCCAATTTTCAGTCGTAAAATATTTATTACCAACATAAAATTGTAACTAACAGTGCACAAAGGCATAAAATTGTAATACTCCGTTTTTACGATTCACAAGAATTTTTTTTTTTGTTTTTTTGAAATTTGTCAGATCATATGAATACTATGGAAACCAATTTCCAGTAGTAGTTTAATTTTTTTTTTTTTTGATAATTTCTTTAATAATTTCATTGGCATTTCTCAGATCAGGATGTAACCCTAGCTTGAAAAAATCGAAGAAATGTATGAAAAAAGGTTGAGTTCTGTCAAGATAGCTTAGTACCTTTCAACCTTCTTCCTACAGTAAATACTACTCTGAAATATCATGGATTCAATTAGACTTTCAAATATTGAATTTGGCCTTAAGCATTCGACTCACAAGAATCAAGCAGGTTTGTAAATGAATAATCTTTGAGACCTTAGAAATTTTTCACCATTCTTTATATGTTTTGATTTTCAGTATCTTTCTTTGGATGTTTAGCCAGTTACAACTCAGTTATATTTCAGCAGCGAACAGTGTGTTAGATTGAAAGATGTGTCCTAATAAATCTATTATATAGGCCCAAAGGATTATCGTATTTTCTTTCTATTATCTTCGGTGCATAATATTAATTGAACCTCCAGAAGTATGTGCACCAAGATGGCGCACAACCTGAACCCTAACCTGGTACAACTACTATGTTCAGGTTGTGCGCCATCTTGGTGCACATACTTCTGGAGGTTCAATTAATATTATGCACCGAAGATAATAGAAAGAAAATACGAAATTTGAAATTTAAATGCTCCATCTCAAATGGTTTTTGGATTCCATAAGATCCTTTGATAGAACTATTATAAATTACTGTAATACTACTCCTATTTCACTAAGAGAGAGATTTCAACCCCTATGGCAGAGGGGAACTATAATGAAACATTCCAGAGGTACGATGAACCCTGAATATATGTATATTTAATTATATAATTTTACTTATTGAAAATGCCAATCAATAAAATGTGAAACAGCAATTTAATGCACAACCCTTGGGTTCCACGGAGCCTCAGTCGACAACATCTTATCTAATCAATACCTATTTTTTTACAAGGCTTATCTGATGATCTTGAAAGTGTGGAAGACACCTATGATCTCGTTGAAGTCTTACACAAACACAAAAACGACCCGGTATCAGTTATACAAGATTGTGTCAAAGAAATATTCATAGTAAATTATGAGCTGCAAGACCAAAACATCAAAGTTTTTCATTCAACTATCTCAAAATGTGATTTCTTGGAATCATTAAAATTGCATTATTGTGGAAACTCTGTAAATCTAGAAAAATTTCTGGACAGCCTTAAAAATATGAATTGCCAGGTATAAATTGCTAATTGAGATTAATTGGGGTGTAGAAGTGTAATATAATAAATTTTACTTTTTGTTAAACATACAGAACCTTTTGCTCTAAACATGGCTCTGCACAAGCAGCCACTGGTAGGCAAAGAGTCATTATGGTTTTGAAAAAGCGGATTCTATCCGATTTGACCTTGCTTACCCAATCTGTTACACCCTGGGTGGGGTGATAGGCTTGGACCCAAGATTTCATTAGAGTCAAGTCTAATACTTAACCCCAGGGGTGTGCAATCTTTATTACAGGAGGCCCAGATACAGTGAGAAACACGTTTTCATAACATCGTGTATTTTGCAACAGAATTTTGTAGCTAGTTTTGCTAATATCACAGTGGCACTCAGGAACTGGTAGAAGCTTTGCAACACAAAAGGATTGAAATTCTCTTATGTACCAGATTAACTGAACTAAAAGCTTGTCTCTCGAGCACATCGTTCAAAACTGGCACTTCTCCACGAGCTGCAAAATTTTTCCTTGTGTGTCGCAGTTTGCACACTCCTGCTTTGCCCAATAGACAATCACGCCCGACTTATATTTACGGTAGTAGCATACTTGAATGACATTTCTTCTTTTATTCCATGTTTATCACTAATTTTAGTTGCTGTAATAAAATAAAATTATTTTAAGAGATAACAAGATAGTAACTGGAAAACAATTACCGTATTTATATTGTAAACCAGGGGCTCCCAATTTTCTAATGTACGTTACTTGAGAAGTGATATTGCGGCATTCGCTGTGAAATACAAACTTATATTTCCAATTTCATTTCCAATATTATTTTGCTCAATTTGTTAGCAATTCACTATTGACCCAACATATTTGGTTTACTATCAATCCCTCTTTCAATTGTGTGAATGGATTTGCATGCTTGTACAGCTTCGACAGTAAAGAATGTCTGTGGGGAGCTACTTTAAAATATCATTGGATATCAGTGGCCTTGTTCAGAACGAAAAGAAAGAGTATGCATCATATTAAAAAAAATTTATTCCTTCAAAATTTTTGCTTGACTAGGCTTTTGCACTGGTCCCTCTTGTATTTTGTACCAGCTGGTAATATAGAAGCTTGCCAAAGCTCGTAAGTTGCTTCTACTGAACGGCATTTCTTTTTTAACAGATTGAGAAAATCTCAATATGGGGAATGTGCAAATTGGTACAATACTTCGAAACATTGGTTATGGTGATGAGAAAATCGAAAACCAAAACATTGGAAATTCAAGCTGTCCAACTAAAAAGTGAAGATTTAACAGAAATGCAAAATGTTCTTGTAAAGCATTCATCCAATAAGTTAAGTCAGCATTTCTTAACCTGGGGTAAACTTACCCCTGGGGGGAAATTTCGTTATTGTGAAAAAAGATTTTGAACAAAAACAAATCACATCTATTTGCTTGTTTTGTTGCGAGAAATTAGTATTAGCGTATTATTAACAGTAGTCCTATGTTTTAAACGAAATTGAAAACCATCACCTATAAATAAGTCGAGTTCTTTGTCATTTTAACCATTCCATTAAATTTTGACCCTTCCCCCCTTAAAATATTTGAAAAAATTGCTAATAACGTGTTTGATTTCATTGTACTGATATCGTCAATTATTTTTGTCAGCGGGGCATGTTATTTTGGGCGTAAACACCTTAATGTCAGTTTTTATTCTCACTAAATCAGAAATTCCCTTAAACATAAGTATGTCTTGTGCCATGACAACGATGATAACCATTTTTTGTAGTACAGAATTACAAATCAAGTCAATGTTTTATAAGTTCATTGGCAGGGAGATGCTAAAGACAAATAAAGGATTGAATCAGTAATCCAAATATTTTTCGAAAAGCAGCAATATAAAATACTAAAAATAAAACCGAAAACAATACAAGTTTTGTCATAGGAGGCCGGCGACTATTGAAAACAATTCTTTAGCCACTGTGAAATGCAAAATTTTGTGTGCCTACAGCACACATTATTTTCATTATTCATTATTGGAAATGATACCGTCCTAAATGAAATTAAAATACAGTCAATTGTGCCTGTATGAAAAGGGGCGTATTCGCGGCGAGGGCGCTTCAGAGGCCTTTCTGAGTGGATTTTTTAACAAGCGCGTAATCGCGACGACTGTTTCAGGAGGAAATGGGAATTATATTCCCCCCTCCCTTTGAAATTTTTATTTCTCAGTGTGTTCTGTGCATGAAAACCTTTCCAAACAATACCATGAAAACTGCACCAATAAAACAGGTCCTATTAACAAGCATGATAAGTAAAAAGCGTTTTCTTGAGTCAAGATTGCCTTTTCTAATAAATTGAAAGATGAACAAGTCCGGCACCATTTGGCAGACTAACAATACTGCTGTACATGCTATATATGGGGTAAACATTAAAGAACACATACGATTGGAAAAATTATTCTGAAAGCTTTTTATGATCAAAATTCCCTCGCACTCTCTATTCCCCCCCCCCAAACTTTCCCTCCACCCTTTTGTTCACTCCCATCGACTTTCATTCCCCCGCTGTTAACTCCATTCACAACTCTATAATCCCAACATTCTCCCTTCCCTCACACATTTTTTCCCTCTTCCACCACTCTTTTCCCATCGAACTCCACTCTCCTATTTTTTACACTGAAATGAAGCTAATACAGAGGCAAGGGGTACAAAAGAGACTTCGCGTCCAAAGTTAGAGGAGCTCTTTCTTCTTCTTTTTATTTGACAAATTTTCAAAATCAGATGTATTTGGCTTAAATCTTGTAACCTTAGTTGATAAAAAGGCTAAGAACCACTGAGTTAAGTAGGATTGTACATTTGAGGAAAACTTAAACCTGGTTCCTAATGTTGTATTCCTGTGCAGTCAACCAAATGTGCAAAGTTAGAGTCGTATATTTGAATTTCCAATAAACTTTAATCTGAACTATCTGGAGCCCTGACTTGAAAGATTTTTCAACTGAACTCAACAAAATGGGTTATCCAAAAGTTCAACAAGAAACTTAAATACAAGGTATTAAGTTTTGAGACTTTTGACTCACTGCTAGTCTTTTTGACTAATCTAACCATATCTTTTACTATTATCATATTATTATTACTGCGAACCCACACAGAGTAATTAGAGGTGTGGTGACAAACGTTTTTCTAACGCTTAGCATGATGAGCCACAGCGCCACACATTTTATGTTTCACTACATAAAATCTGTTCAATGTTTGTTTAGATGTTGGATCTGCAACTCGAAAACTTGGACCTCAGTTACAACAGAGATATGAGTCCTGAAGACTTCAGCATATGTGGAAACATTGTTAAACTACTACCAGTTACAAATGTCCGTATGTTTGACTGCAGTTTAACTGATGAGAAAGTTGAAAAGTTAAAATCTTCCCTGGAAGAAAAACAGGTAAAACCTCTGATACTTTTTAATGTTCCATGTCCTTGATCCTAACTAAACCAAAACCTGACATGGACTGGTAACTAGACAAGGGGAAAAAAATTCCGCATTAATCTCATTACACTTCAAAACTGTTACTTGGTATAGAGTTTATATATTTATCTCTGGAAGAAAAATACTTCGAAATGTTTCTTCAAAGTCCAGACTTGTAAGCTTCCTTCAACAAACTTTCAAGAACGCTTAGTGAAAGTTCAGTTTTTTTAATTTTTATAAGAAGTTTTGACTTATTTTAATTTTTTTTTTTTTTACTTTATATTTTAATCACAGGTATCAGAACAAGGGTGTCGTTTTAGTAGCTCTGTGCATTCCTATTCAAAGAAATTCAAGGAATCCTCTGCGATTACTTTTCATTATGAAAAGGATTTTGATGAAAATGGAATTATTTATTGGATTGGAACCAATTGGAGGTCAGTAATAGGTATTTCATATTTTGTGGGCGATTACTTGGTGGTTAGGAAGCTAAATATCACAAATTATTGCAGAAATCAAATTTATTCAGTTACAAACCAACCTATAAGTGAAGTATATATTTCACTCCATCGATTTGGTTTTACCCCCATGTCCACCACTTTCTTCCCCACCACTTTACCTGGAATGTAATGAATTAATCAGGCAATGCTGAAATATAAAGACTCCAAACTCCTAATAATATGAGTGGCTGATTGTACAGGACCTTGTTTGGAGTGAAAGGCAATTAAAAGTTGTGAAGTATAGGAAACAAAATTTTTAAGGTCAAGCAAAAACAAGGCTGTTTATAATCAACCACTGATACGTAGTGAGCTACATACCCGACATGGACTGCTAACCGGACAAGAGGTCGTGGTTCATCATATGATTATCATATGATCTTATCAGCTTTAGACTTTAGTACAGAAAGTATTTGACAGAAACTATCTGGTATGTAATAGTTCTATGATGAAAAATTATTCGGCACAGTCTGCCCACTTTGATTAAGCCTTATAGCCTGAGATGTTTTTACCTACAACACCTACATAGTAAGTTTTAACACTCTACCCACCCATCTGTTCAGACTTTAATACAGAGAATGTTTGACAAAAAACATCACCCTTATAATTCTTAATTTGAAATTCCCAGAACTGCCCTTAAATGGGTTAATCCAGCAATCCACAATTTAGTTCACATAACCTCATCTGAAGGACGTGGGTTGCCGTACGGTAAATTGGAAGAAGTGTTAAGTAGAGATCCTGCTCCTCTCAACTGTCATACCAGCAATAGCAAGACAGCCTGGATTTGCATCGATTTTAGTAAGTTTCATATTTTCTGCACTCTTGCCAGGCTTTGTACAAGTTGCGCTCCAGAAGTGTGTGTACCAATATTGATAGGATACGATTTACATATTTATCCTAGGGGAGAGGAAACCGATAAGACGGCTTAATCATATGGTGAACCACGGCCTCTTGTCCGGTTGCCAGTCCAGGTCGGGTATGGGATTAGTTAGCCAGTTATTTATTTTCGGAAGCATGGACTTGATGGTGGAGGAAGGCGTAACCAACCAGCGGTTACGTGAACCACCCTACGGCGGCGAGGAGTCCAACAATCCTCTCGCACATAATCATCCCCGCATGGGATTCGAACCTGCGAACCCACGTAAGGTAATCAGAAATCCGGTGGCAAGCGTATTCCTAACGCTTAGCACGATGCGCCACACCGCCGAGGTAACTAAAGGCATGTAAAAGCTGTAAAGGCATTGAGGTAACTAATTTTGTTCGCCTATTTCACATCAAGCTGTGTTAAGGGACTGAAACCTATGGGCAGGGGGGATATTCACTTGGCTAACACAGACAGTCTCCGAACTAGTAATAGAAATAAAATAAGGAAAATCGGAACAAAATTATGGCCTGACCCTAACCTGGCACACATAATACGGGAGTACCGGTACCGTACAAGTAACCATTTCGAGAGCTTAAGACAGAGGGATAAAAGTTTGACAAAAGTTTATTCAAAAGCAATTACAAAGACAAAAGCTCCTTTATTTGACTTTCTAATCAAAGCTTGGAGCCATATGTAGTTAAAAACATACTCAGAGATGTTAAAAGTCAAAACTTTTTAACCTGTCATGTCATTAAAATTTCGACTGTAGGGTGTTTAAAGGTACGACTCTGACCAATATCCATAAAAACATCCCAGACTTGTACTCCACGGCGCTGTGAATAATGTGGAGCTGTTACAACAAGAATTTGAATTTTCAACAACATTTCTTTTTGTCTTTCAGGATTATGGATTATACCTTCTGCATACACTCTGCGCCACTCTCGTGGTTACGTGAATTCTGCTCTCAGGAACTGGTTGTTCCAGGCTTCAAAGGACGGACAAACTTGGATTACTTTGTATAATCACAGCAATGATACTTCACTGAATGAGCCCGGGTAAGTATTATTGGGCATTAGGCGTACATATTTTTTTAAACGACGCCTATGAGGGTTGATCCCCCCCCCCTCCATTTTGAAGTAGCAAATATTCATGGCTTGAAATGCTTCTAGACTCTCAAGACTATTAAAAACTCATGTTTCCCGGCCTCCTGCCATACCTGCTAGCTGTTACGGTGCAACTTGGCAGTTACAAATTTCTGAACCCCTCCTCCACCTTTGGAATTCCCTGATGAGCCCTTATTCCATTTGAATGACCTGAGCACTACATCTCCCACTCTGCTCTATAAGGCTTTTAATTTATCTACGCCATGGTATTTCACTTAGCTCGACAGCAACTTGGAACATTACATCTCACGTGGGTGAAAAGCAGGGCTGGCGTCATTTTCGTTTGCAACAAAGCGGTCAAACAGCAAGAAAACGAACACATTACTTATCTATGTCTGGGCTTGAGATTTATGGAACTGTAACGGGAGCTTGTGAACAGGTGTAGAACAGTGATTCTCAAACTAGGCTTTGAGAGCCGCATGCGGCTCTCAACAACCTTTCCTGACGCTCTAGTTAATGCTTTAAAAATTAATTGCTTCAAAAAAAAATCTTCCAATGAAAGCTAATCATTGACTTGAAAGTGACTAGTGGCGCAACAGCAAGCGTTTACGCAGCCACTTGGACACTTTTCACTTGGAAGGATTTTAGACATGGCTGTAATCACTTGCTCGCTTTCAGTTTTTGTCACATTTCTGATTATTATGTATTAATCAAATAACTTAATGATTATTTTAGTTTCTGGAGTGTTATAATTTTGTTTCAGTAATCTAAAATAGTCTCGAAATATCTGCCAATCAACTGGCGATTCTCTCAAGCAGCTACTGCACCTTGCATTCTCCACGATTACGACCCGCTAACTTATTAGAAATCAAAGCCAAATTAAATGGCTGTTAGTCTAGGGGTCGGCAAAATCGAATCTTTTTTCGAATCGAATAATTTGAGTATTTTTAACGAATAACGAATGGTCAAATAATGAATATTTTTTTTATCCACAACAGAGATCCAGAACGTCGGAGGCGATACTCCCTTTGGAAATTAATAGAAACATTGAAAATTCGACAATAAAGCGTTATTTTACTGGTTAATTTCATCATAATCGCTGACTGTCTTTGTCACCGCTATGGTTTTGGCGGCGATATCTTAGAGTTGGTAATCTATATTCTCGCCTTTTCTCGCTTTGCGATTGCGTGATCCTGAATGTTGATTTAAAATAGCGATGAAATAAATTGGCAATAAAGGCATTTCTAGGCCTTTGTGCCTAATAGAGGGTCAGACGCTAATTATAACTAATTCATTCAAGTTTTAACGTTTTTTTTTTCAACAAAACAACACCCTGACGGTTATTATAGCTAAAATACGTACTTAGTAATGCTCAATTTTATTTACGGAATTTGCAAATTCAGCACTTCACTTAATGATTTTTATTATATCATGCCTATTACTACCCAAATGCTTCAAAATTTAACAATTGTAATCGTTTGCGATGATAATAGGCGCAACAATTATTAAACGAGTCAGTGTACATTGTTACAACGGTATTCACGATTGATCATTTTTAATTTGATTTTAATCAATTTTATGTTCAGGTCAAGCAAAGCAAAAAATGGCTAATGACATGGAGTTTAAATAAAATCTGGGAAATTTATTTTATATACCGAATCTGGTTTGATGTTTCTAAATTTACGAACGGTCGGTATGTTTTTTGCAAAGAATAGCAAAGAAAAGCATATAACACCATAACGCAAAGACAACGACATTTCAAATTTGTCGTTTTTTTTCTGGTAGCTAGTGCCATGGGGAAATCTCGCACAATTCATGATTGAGACGCGCGAGTTCGGTGACCTAGCGAAGCGGCGCAGGTCACGTGATACCGAATAATCAGATAGTAAAATGCCATTCGAATATTTTATTATTCGATTAGATATTCGAATATTTTGCCCAGCCCTAGTTGTTACGTGTGTAGTTGTTACAATGACTTGGTATTTCAAATATACGTGCTCAAGTTTTGTTGCTATTTTAACTTGCGTTGTTTGTGTGCGGCTCTTCAAAACTTTAAGATTTGAAATTTTGCTCTGGGAATAAAAAAGTCTGAGCACCACTGGGGTAGAATCTTCACGTTTTGGCAATTCCTATCCAATTTAATACACCCAGGGTGAGGTGGATGACATGGGACTCAAACTCAATTGCTCAACTTTAGTAACTGTTTCTTTGATTGTCTCTATATAAGTTTTAGTTATAAACAAATTTTCCAATTCTTAGTATTATTAACAATTTATGACTTGATATTTCAGCTGAACTCTCTTGATATAAGTTGCAATTCTGAAATTACAAAAAAAGGCTTTTTCACAATTGGAAAAATAACGGAAACTTCTGGGCTTCAAAACTTAACCATTAGTGATTGTGAAATGACAAGTCAAAAACTGGAAAGCCTGCAAGAAGCTATTCCTGAAAGAAGAAAGGTAGGTAGTGAGGATTTTGAAATTACCCTGGGGGAGAGGAAAGTGTGCTCCCGAAATATGTGAACCAAGATGGCGGACTCCGTTATGAAATATGTGTTGCAGGTTAGGGTTAGGCCGTAATTTCAGGTACAAATACTACAATAGACTTGACTAGTCCTTGAACTCGTAATAGAACTAAAATGCAGAAAATTGGAAAAAATTATGGCCTAACCCTAACCTGGTACACATACCATATACTCCACCATCGAGTCCATGATTTCGAAAATAAATACTCAACTAATCCCATACCTGACATGGAATGGTAACAGGATGAGAGGCCGTGGTTCGCCATATGGTTAAGCTGTCTTATCGGCTTCCCTCTCCCACGGGATAAATATGTGAATCCTATCCTACTACTTTCCGGTGTTTGCCATCTTGCCTACAAAAGGGGTCGCGAAACGGCAGTCACAAACTAATTTTTGCGGCCCTCGAACGTCTCAACTTCAAAAGCATGATACAAAAATGATTATAAATTTATCATTGTCTTCACATGGATTTGCACGATAACAAATGCAGCTGTATGGCGCTTTTTTGTAGTGTCAGTTGTATGTAGTTTACTTGATGTTGGTTGTAATTTTAAAATAGTTTTATTTATTTAGATTTTTAAAATATAAAAGTTTGCGTTGGGGGTCGAACATTACGAAGCGTTTGGACAGAAAATATTTTTCTTTCTTGCGCATTTAAAAACCAGTTTACTTGATATGCCAAGTCAGCACCGCAGTTACTGTGAGATTCAATGTTTTACGTCATTACAGAATGTGTCACTGCAAATACGAAAGTCGACCCCGAGACCACAGGTTGCGCTGCTGCTCTGTGCGACAATGCAAAACGTTTAATGTGCACGTCCGGAAGCACATATTGCTGTGAGCAGCTTTATCTTAAATGTATTACACTCAGGATAAATTTCGTACATGCTTTTCAGATTGCCATTTGGCATTTGTTTGCAGGCAGAAATTAAACGTGGCATACACGCTACCGGTAATGTGTATATTCGACCCGCGATTACATAAAATTTGCCGACCACTGGCCTAGACGAAAGGGCTTAATCATATGGTGTGCTATGGGCATCTTGTCGTGCTACCAGTCCATGTAAAAGTTAGTCAGTTATTTGTTTGAAATGCATAGACTTGATGGTGGAGGAAGTGGTAACTGGTTAGCAGTTACAAGAACCACCCTCCATCAGAAGTTCAGTCACATACTTGAACCTGCAACCCAAACCGAGTAATCAGAGGTGCTGTGGCGAGTGTATTCGTAACATTTAACATGATGTAACCACAATCGAGAATAAATATTGATAGTTAGGAAGGAATTTAAATAAATTTCCCTCGGGGGAGGAAAGCTGAAAAGATGACCAACTCACGGTCTGCCAACTGCTGAGCCTAGTTATTTGTATTGATGATAAACTATGCTTCACCCACTCTGCTAAACCAAACTAAAGTTAGAATCAATGGAGAATAGTGAAATAAAATCCATATTTACATATAAAGGAAAGTTAACACTACGACCTAATAACACGGCACGGCCGTGTGGCTCATCGTGCTGAGCATTAGGAATACGCTCGCCACCCCACCTCTGATTACTCTGTGTGGGTTCGCAGGTTTGAATCTCATGCAGGGATGGTTTTGTGCAAGAGGATTGCTGGACTCCTCGCCGCCATAGGGTGTTTCACGTAACCATGGTCGGTTACGGCTTCCTCCACCATCAAGTTCATGATTCCGGAAAACAAATAACTAATCCGATACCCGATATGGAATGGTAACCGGACGAGAGGCCGTGGTTCGGCATATGGTCAAGCCTCCTTATCGGCTTTCCCCTTCCTCGGGATAAATATGTAAATCCTATCTTATAACATGTTGGGCCATGGACTATTGGAATAGTTAACCATATATCGTTATAAAACTTGCATGGCTGAGCAAGTAAAACCCAGTAGGAATTACATCAACACCTTGCGAGAAACGAATGTCCAGCTCAGACACGAATCATTCTCCATAAGATTTTAACCGATCCACATGTGTGTAGAGTAATCAGCAATGCAATGCCAGTGGTTCTCAAACCTTTTATGTCCCATCCCCTTTTTAGAATTTGTCAAATCTCACAAATATTTTTGTATAGAAGTAAAGCAACAATACAGCTATAATTTAAAAAAATGAAGTGCTCTTCTCATTCCATACTTTATTAATTTTAAAATTTAGGAGTGAAATTTCGACCATCTAACCTTAGTCATCTTCACTCTCTTTTCACTATGTACTTCTTTCAATAGCTTAATAAGCTTGATGTGAGCTATAACGACACATTGGGAGCAGAAGGCATGAGCACACTTGGATCATTTGTGATAAAGTATGAAGTTGAAGATGTAAGTCTTGCGAGTTGCAAATTAAATGAAAAGCTTATGGAAAGCTTCTTATCTTCTGCTCAACAATCAAAGCTTGGGAATCACATGCAGGTGAGAAAGAAAAATGTTTTTGCTTGTATGGCTTGAGTTTAATTTGTATCACAATGACTGACAGAATTTCTGAGTGAGTGGTTGCTTTGAGCAAGTTTCCATGATAAAATAAGTATAGGTTTATTCCTCTAAAGAAAAAACATACATAAAACAATGAATTCACAAAGGTTTGGGAAAATTGGTAAAACCTTCAAAACAAGAAAGTGTATCATTCGGGCATCTAACTTGTGTAACATAAATACACTGAGGGCATGGTGAGGTTCAATATGAAACTGTTTAAGCGGACATGATGTGGCTATGCATATCGTTTGGGATTTGTGTACATTAGACACATTCAAAGCAATAACTAGATTGGTGTAAACAACTGCGAAATAATGTGTTAGGTGAAAACAGTGTCAATAAAATTGATAATTAAAATCTTTTATTTGGTGAAATATTTCTGCATGTAATATCTCTTTTTAAGAACATTGTTTATAAATAGACTATGAACTTAAAAATTATAGTATCAAAGATTATATTTCCATTACCAGCATAATTGAAAAAACATCTTTGATAGCGTTTTGTCAAGTACTCTTTAGGCCATTTTATTATATCTTTATATCCCTTCTGAATGGCAGCATCACGATTGCCTGGTTACAGGGGTGTGCAAAATTTAATAAAGGAGGGCCGCACCTTTATTTAACATATGCTTTGTAGTAGATGCAGGCACAAAAATTTTGGTATTTGATCTTATGACATGCGTTGTTTGCTTACCATAGACTAGCTGTTTGGGTATTTTAACATCATAGACGTAGGTAAGAAATTGGATTCAGATATAGGCTTTGCAATGCAAAGGGATTGGAATTACTTGCACGTACCAGATTAAACTAAATTTTAAATGTTGTTTCGTGGGTCGGACACCTTTCAAAATAGCCACTTTTCTACTAGCCACACAATTTTTCTTGTGGGCCACATTGGCCTGCGCACCGCAGGTTACACACCCCTGTTCCAGACGTTGAATCTTTAGACTTCACTGTGTTGCTGTCACAGATCTTAGAGTCAAATTCTATACCCCCAACCTCAGGGGGTAATTAATTGGGTAGACCCGACTGGAAATATGACGGTTCGTTTCAAATGATAGTAATTGGTGATAATAGTTGTATATATTGAACGAAAAATAAAATTTATTATTACACTTCTACACCCCGATTAAACACAGTTAGCAATTTATACCTAGCAATTTGAGGTCGTCGAAAAATTTACTTAGATTTTCAGAGTCTCCATAATAATGCAATTTCAATGATTTCAGTATATTACGTTCGAAGTTAATTGAATTAGCATTATTACATATCATTAGATATAATTGGCTGCACAGGGCCTAATTCAAAGTGAAAAGTGTGAATGAGCATTTTATAATAATTTCGTAACAATTTGTAAAGTCATAAAACAAGATTCTATAACTGACATGAGCAAACTACGCCCGTGGGCCTAATCCGGCCCGCCTGATGCTGCCACAACTAAACTAAAAACAAATGTTGATATTTGAGCTAAAAAATGGCTCAAGGAATTTGTTGAGACTGCGATTAATTTTAGTTTTAGCACAAGGCTTCATGTTTTCCACTTAAGCTTCTCTCGCTGTAAATATTGTTCATGAAATGTAACTTTTTACGTCACAATCACATCGCCCGCCAGTCTAGGTGGAAAATTTTTTGGCCATTATTCCACAAACCTTGCCTACCCCTGTTCTATAATAAATATAACATGTCAAAATATTTTTAGATTCAGCAATTGAATATATCGCATAATCGTTCAATTGGACGAGGCATCATTCACATAGCGAGAATGATAAACAACGGTACTCTGAAAAGAGTCAACATGAGCGAATGCATGCTTTCTAAAAACAATGTGAAAGCATTTTGCGACAACATACAAAAGCCAGTAAGTAATATTGACTACCATGTAAAACTTTTCAAATTGTATATAGTTGTGCATAAATATATATATATATATATATATATATATATACTCTTCAAAGGTAACTCTGTATAAACTAGTGTCCGTAAAATTTGTCGTAGGATATTTTGCCATAGAAAATCCCGCCGCATATGAAATTTTTTTAATAATTACCTCTCTTTGCCCATTTTAATCTCTTAATTTTTCCCTCACTATGCTGGTACATATGCTGGTCAAAAATTCTTTCTTCAAATGCAAAATTCTTCCCTTAGAAAAGGGGGAGGTGTTGGTATAAAAGATAGCTTCAGACATGCACTGTGGAGTTCGATTTGTCACATTTTCGCAGGTGACAAAGTAGAGATGGTATTTTCATGCTTGTATAGAAAGATCAGAATTTTTCTGTTTTTGACATTGCCTACCTAATTTATTGTTCCAACCGATAGATATCAAAATGGAAAGTTCGATGAGAAACATATCTATATCTCATTCGTTTTATAGTTGGTTATTTACTCCGACATTTTCTCTGAATATTAATTCTTCTATATTAAGATTCAAGCTCTCAATCTCAGTGACAGTGATCGCTTGGTGACTATTGATTACATCGAGGCAATTTGTGAAGTTATTCCTCACATCTCAGACGAACTTGTTTTAAAGTTTCACTCTCTTACTTCAGCGTGTCGAAGCCTTTTGTTGGACAAACTTAATAGTCTAAAGCACTCTGTGAGTTTGTGATACTTCATTAGCGTGACTGAGAAACCAATCATTGTTATTTTTATACGTCGCTTACTCACACATTTTAATCCAAACAAGGCGGTGTTTAATCAATCACTGATATCTAACGATATGTAAAAAGCTACTATTTTAAAAAAAAAACTGAAATATTTTCAGTTTAGTCTGAAAATAAGTATCTCCCCATTTTATTACACCCTTGGTGAGGAGGACGCACAATTTGAGCAAACAATATGAAAAAACAATAGACAAAAATGGATTGTTTTAGGGCTGCTGGTTCTTGGACTATTCCATAACTTGAAACTAGGATAGGATTCACATGTTTATCCCGGGGGAGAGGAAACACGGCTTCCGATAACACGGCTTAATCATATGGCTAACCACACCCTCCTGTCTGGTTACCGGTTCTAGTAGAGTATGGGACCAGTTATTAGCTTTCAAAAGCATGGAATCAACGCGGTGTCTCCAAAATGTCGTGTTCCACTTGTCTTACGTGTCCCACTCATACCACGCGTCCTGGAGAAGTGGAACGCAGGACAAGTGGTACAAGAGGGATATGTGGGACACGTGGTAAATTTTGGACCCTTGTTGTAACCGACCTGCGTGAACCACCCTACGGCGGCGAGAAGTTCAGCAATCCTGTTGCACATAACTATCCTGGATGGGATTTAAACCTGCAAAACCCACGCGGGGTGATCCGATGTAGTGCGGTGGTAAGCGTATTCCCAACGCATATCACAATGCACTACACCACCGAGCAGCTACCGGTACCACCATTGAACTAGCCAGCTGTTCGAATACATACCAGATCAGGACTGGTAGGCAGGTGTGGTCTGCTCTGCCATAGGGGACTGTTTTTCCATATTTAAAATCCATGACAACCATTCTATGGAGTTAAGTCATAAATTCAAGGAAAACACACATTCGTTTTTCAATTTCTTCACATGAAAATCATAAGCATACCATTCTGTGCATTTCGAATATAAAATATAACCATCATTAAATAATGCTAGACATTCCAGCTGCATGTAATTCTAAACAAACTCATTAATTCTAGATGAGATATATCTGATTTGAGAACCAACATGGTCAATGAGAGAATTTCGTGTTAATTATGATCGATAGCAAATTTTTTTTATTCCTTTATTTTTTTTAACAGGAAACAAGAATTATACTTGGAAATGGAGATATTTTAAACAAGAGAGACACGAAGGCCCAAACAGAAAAAAAATAAATGATATCATTGTAATATCTAAATTGTACTACAAGCAGATATGTACTTTTAGTGGGCGTGGTTTAACAATTTTTGCATATGTCATTTCAGACCCACATATGACTACGTCATCTAAAATTATGTCACAATGTTATAATAGAACTTGCTAAAGTATAGTGATGATCGTCCTAAATGGTGTCGGTGACAATAATAGTTTACTAGTTTTTGAAATAATTTTAATTCTTGCCAAGCCAAAGAAATTGTGATTTTTTGTATTATATAATAACCTTTTAAAATAAAAACAGTCCTATATTTAAGAAATGTTTCCCAATTTAAATGTATATACATGTTTGCCAGATGCAATGTTTTAAAACTTTAACCAATACTCGTATGAGTATAAGGTGGAAGCAATCCCTAGTGTGCTAATATCTAAACATACTTAATTCCCTGAGCAGATAAAACTTGACCCAAGACCTCATATGCTCAATTTGTGGGAGGCTAGAGCTATTTATGAATGTTTCAAAGTGACAAATCTTTTAAATAGAATGACTGGGCGTAATATTCCCCTTACCGCCCGTGAGACTTGAATATATTGTGGCCGATGTACACTTTTGTGTTTTTTCGAAACAAAAGTTCAATTTTCATAGTAGTAATTTTTGTTTTGTTTGTTGAGGTGATTATTGTTACTGGGGAAAAACACTGTTATCCGCACCTAATTTTTCAATTCATCTGAAAAAGGCTTCCATGTTTTTATATCATTTTAGGGGACTCCGAGAATAACAACAATATTACATCAGTAAATTGATCTATATGCACTATTTGTGTCCAGATAGGTTATACTATCGAAATTAAGGTGCTATGTATAAAGTTTTTTGAGGTTGAAATAATTTTTTGAAGCCTTTGAAATTATAAGCCTTATTATTCATCAATATTTTAAATAGCTATTTTTCTGCATTTATATTTGTTCCCTTTTCTAATTTTAACAGTTTGAGTTATCTTAAATCATTATCTACAATTCCTAAATTTTATGATTTAAGCCTTTATTTTCATTCTATTTGAGAGTTTACAATGTGAAGCGAAGAGTGAACTGTGCATATTTTGAGTAAATGTGCATATAATTTTTTGCTATGGAATAAATTTACTATTTTTTTTTATATATTTCTGTTTGTTTGATGAATTTATTGCATTCTTATTCTTCAATTGTTTGTTAGATTGTATAAGATTTTAAAAAGCTCTCACGTTACTTTTAGTTGAACTATATGATCAACTAGTATTAGTTGAACTATATAATATATATGATCTATTTCTCAACAGTTATATGCAATTTGCCTATGTGATTTGTATTTCCTTTTCAGATTCAATAGTATAATTTAAAATAGTTAGCTTTTACATGGCTGAAGGTAGGGCCCTTCCACCTAACAGGAGAGAAAGGAATAATAAAAGCAATATTTCAGATGCAAATACGCCTGCGAGCAACCCAGGTTTTGAAGTGTCATTTAAAAGTGAATCATCGTTAGATCTTGCTTATCATTTCGCTTCATGTCTCAAGAAAAACTGTAATCATTCAAAAACTGTACATGGGCAGAGTATAATATCGGGTTGTGTCAAGTATTACCCATACCCAGAAATCGCAAACCAGCTAACCGAAAACCCAATAGTACAGGGTACAAATAGAAAACAAAAGAGACTTTCAGATAACTTCCGAGAAGCTCTACTTCTTAAAGTTATACACGTTATAATGGAAATGCATGATGAGGAAGTTATCTGTGGAGTAAACTCTTCAAATATCTACATCGGGAGGAATAAAAAACATCTGGCAATTGCTGACACAAACCAACATTCATTTGACATTAAACAAATTTTGAAGAGTTACGGACAGCTTATCTTGAAAGTACTTTCTCCTGGCAAACTGAACGAAAATCCCAGTAACGAAAGTACCACAACATATGAAGAGCTATTCAATGAATACTCGGATAAGAAAGTTGCATATGCACATGATGCAATTCATGTGTACCAGACAGTAAGAGAAAATAACAATCAAATGGCAATGGAGTTTTTATTCTCACTTTTGGACTATGGAGATCCATTGTTGGCTTTTGATTTAGCATCCAATATAAATCATGTTTATGATTATAATGGCTTTTTTTCAATTCTTAGTCATCCTTTTTTCTGGTCAGCCAACAAAAAGTGTCAGTTCATATGTGCCGCATTCGGTCATATAAAAGATGCAAATGAATTTGGGGATGGATATTCCGATGAATTTGATAAAACCATACATGATATTTATGGTATTGATGGAAGAAATGTTTTTGATGAAAACGGGTGGATTGAAAAGCTTGGAATAAGTGATAAAACTATACTTTCATTAAAAGAAAAATATGGCCCTTCTGATGGTGTTTCGCAAGACACAATTAAATCAGAAACTAAAAGAAAAAGCGGACAGTTGAAATTTAACGAGCATTCATTGTACGACTAATGAGATTTTTTAGGAATCGCTACTGTCATTTTGGGAAGATGAAAAAATTCAATGTGCTTTTGATAAAAGCGAAATCGGTTTCTGGAATTTTTTTGCAACTAGATTTCCAATGCTACTGCATCATATCTATGGAAAGCTGTGGCCATTTGTGCAGGGTCGACTGGAATTTAAAACATTCGAGGAACCCATTCCTGAGTGCAAATATTTAACATGAGAATTTGTATAATTCAATTTGATAACTACTTCTACAGCAAAAACTTTTGAAGCTTTTTCAAGTAATGTTCATATGTATGTGAAAACATGCAGCTATCAATGTAGCATTCAAAAACTGACATGCGCAAATCTGGCCGTTGGGTGAATTATTCTGGCCCGCCTGATGATTCCATGAATTTCTGCTTTTAACCAATTCCTCATGTACTACATATAGTTGTTGTTATTGAAATCTGTATGGTTTAAATTTTATCGAGTCTGTGTAAGTTGTATTTTAGGTTGCCACAGACGTTCATGTCAGCTCGAGTTTCAATTTGGTGCCGACAAAGTTTTGTTAACGTCCCAATAACACTATATTAACGTTCTTTTTTGTTCATAGCTTACGCATTCTTGGCATGTAATTTAGTCTATCGTTTCTCAATGGTTTCTAATAATCTGTTGCTGCATCCCTAATTGGAAGATTGTTAACTAAATTATCAAAAATTAATTGTGAGTGAGTAAATAGACCTTAAGCCAAATGAATTTCAACGAATCTGAACACAGATCTCAATTGACCGATACTCATCTCAAATTCATTTTGACAATTGCCATATTGAAACTAAATTTTGTTATCTTAGCTAAACAATAGCTCAAGGAATTTGTTGAGATTGCAATTAAATTTGGTATTGGAAATAGGCTTATTATTTCCACTTTTGCTTTTGTAACACTTTGAATATTTTTCATAAAATTTAACACACTTACATGGCCCGGCTGTCACATTGAGCAAAATTTTTTGCCACTGGTCCAAAAACTTTGCCCCTCCCTGATTTATTTCTCACTTGTGATATATTATTCATTCAACGATCGATAAATCTTCTTGATACGAATAGATGTAAAAAATGAAAAAGTAGTCCAATTCCAGGTAACAACTATTCAGTGTGTTGTACTGATTTTATTTTTTTACTTTTCAAGTTTCCATAAGTTCATGTTGAATTATAATTGAGCAAAATTGATAAATTCTCTTAATAAATTCTAATGCAAATTCTAATAATATGTTTTTTGGTGTTTGTCTCCGGAAATTAGTTAGTTACCGCAGTTGTGCTTGCTGTAAATGTTTGGTTCTACTAAAGTAGTTTGATATTATATCCAACAGTATCACAATCTCTGTTTGAAGAAAGTATGCCAATTATTGGGCTAGTCATAGGTTCTTCTGGGCAGCTCTGGTAGGGTAGTCTGGTATAGGACAGGTGGGTCAGTCAGACATTTTAGATGCAAAAATGTGGTGGAAGATCGATGCTTGCCCTCTCCACTAGCTAGCTAGCTCACTTATACATTTTGTGTGTATTAGAAAGTATTAGTTACATAATTTGTGATTTGTCGCAGCAGAAAAGTCTACCAAGTGAAAAAAAGCATAATTCTAACTGGTCAGTGTGACGTCGCAGTGACATAATTTTTGGATGGCTTCGCAACTCAATTTTTTAACAAAGTTTTAAAATTGTCATGATACACTTTGCACATGGAATCCCAAAAGTAGATATTTGCCGAATAATTGTTTGGGTGTTTCCAAATTGAAGGGGTGTTAGGTATTTTGTTATTAGTGATAAAACTATTTGTAAATGATAAAAGTGTGTTTGACTGATCATTTTCATCGGAATATGAACCACTTTCTGGATACCACTTTCAAATACAATTTTATTTATGTTGAGGGTTGAAGCATGGTGCCTGAAAATGAGAAGGGGTGTTTGGAATTATAGGGGGGGGGGGGGTCGAAAATCACTGCACCACATGGTTTGAGAATATACCAATAATGATATATTGAATGGAAAAGAGGTGTGTCACTAAATAGACGTTTCCCCGACCCGTGACGTCAGAAAAATATTGGTTTACATGTCAAAAACCGTAAACGATTCCGGGGGAAACATACATTGCTAAGGCAATAGTTCCCGACCTTTTCTCTTCTATTGCATATTTTGAATATTTTGATTCCTTTTCACAATGCATGAACTTTGTTTTCTTGATTATTAGCTGTTGAATAAGGGAGTAGTGAAACGGCATAGCAATGTGGGGGGCATAGCAATGGGGTTGGGGAGGGCTAGAGCTGATACGGTCTGACTTGGCGATTACAACTGCAATACACCAACGTTTCCCAACTGGGGAGAAATTCCTATACAGGGGGGATTTTACTGTTCTTGGGAAGGAAATATAACTTTAGATTTGGTCTAATTTTACAAATACTGTAGTCTATAGTTGGTATTCTTCTAATACATATTATGAATATTTTATAAACTATTCAAACTCTGCAAAAGCCAGAGTGCGAGTTTTGCACCGGCTGAGGATCCTTCAAAGATTGAACAAATGATGAAAATATTTATGTATAGTGAAGGAGGAATAAAGAGAGGAATTAATCGAAAATGATTAAGATTAACATATCCAACCCGGGGGAGAGAAAAGTTAATAAGACGACTTTATTATATGGCATACCATACATCGGCTTCTTGTCCAGTTACCATTCCATGTTGGGTTTTGTATGGGATTTGTAAGTCAGTTACTGTATTCGTTTTCGAAAGCATGGACTTGATGGTGGGAGAAGCCGCAACCAGCCAGCGGTTATGTGTCGAGTTTGGCAATCCTCTCGCACATAACTATCCCCGAGTATTCAAAACTGCAAACCCGCGAAGGGTAATCAACGAGAATCATGCTGTTGCATTTTTTGGCAAAATTTTGTAATCCGCAGACACGCCGTTCAAAATGGGGGAATTTCGGATTTTAAAACAATCGCCGTGACGATCAAAACAATCATTAAATGGCTGACCTTTTTCAACTGATATTGATTTTTTGATACTCCCGTAGTATGTGTACCAGGTTAGGGTCAGACCACAATTTTATTCCTATTTTCCTTATTTTAGTTATATTACAAGTTCGGGGACTGTCTGTGTTAGCCAAGTGAATATAACCCCTGCCCATAGGTTTCAGTCCCTTCACACAACTTGATGTAAAATGGGCGAACAATATCAGTTACCTCCATATTGGTACACACACTCCTGGAGCACTTTTAACTGTGTCTTATTTATGCTTCATTTACATGTTCAATGTGTTTCAGGACTCTAACATTTAACTTGAATTGAACACTTGATAAACATTTTCAAAAGGAATAGAAATAATCAGAGTTGGCCAGCAACCAGCGTATTCCTAACCTTAGCACGTAACATTACACCATCAAGTCCATGCTTCCGAAAACAAATAATACCCGACATGGACTGGTAACCGGACAGGAAGCCATATGATAAACCATTTTGTCAGCTTTCTTTTCCCCCAGAATAAATATGCAAATCCTATCCTATTTTTTTCAAATTTAGATAAATTCAGATACATGGGCTTGATGGTGGAGAAAGTCATAACCACCATACGGCGGTCAGGAGTCCAGCAATCTCTCGAACATTATTTATCCCGCATGAGATTCGAATCTGGTTCGTGGCGAGCATACCGGTACCGTACGCCTACCATATAGCATTATGTGCAACACCATCAAGTCTATGCTTCCGAAAACAAATAACTGGTTCACTAATTTCATACCCGACATGGACTGGTAACCGGACGAGAAGCCGCGGTTCGCCATATGATAAACCATTTTGTACCATGAAGTTGCTAGAGACGTCTAGATTTATACGACTAATAAGTTCACGTTT